AAAAGAAATAGAATTGAAATTAGCCAAATTACTCAATCGCATGAATGTGATACGGACAGATTTGAGCCTAATCATGGAAGAAGAAGAATCGGAAAAACGGATAACGAAAAGGATGAAAATTTCCAGCATTACTTTTATTAAACGAAATTGTTGGACAGATTTATAAATTAGAATCAGCATTAAATGAAACAGTTGATGAAATTCTGCCACCAATGAATGAGCTTATTTTTCAATCACATCTAGGGAGCATCAATCTTCCATCTCTTCAATCTGAATTTGAAAATACACAAAATTTTGCTGAGAAATGCAAGGTAAATTTGCTTCCTTAAATCAAAATAAGTAATGTTTATGAACTATTTTTCATACATCTTGTAATATCATCATTTTTATAATCTATAAATCATTAATAAAATCATCTTTTGCAGAGGAAGTTGGCGGAAAAAGAACAAATGAGGATGGTGCAATCTGAGCTTGTAAAATTGGAAGAGCAAATATCTTCGGCTAATCAGTTGCTAGCATATGATGTAGATCTAAAGGATGTCAATAATCCAGAAGATATTGGAGAAAAAGCGAGAAATATTGAAAATATGGAGCAATTAATAGTTTTAGCATTGGATAAGTTGAAAGATAATGATCGTAGTATGATGACTAACGAACAACGTATTAATATGGAAAAGATGTTGGATGAAGCAATGCCTCTTATCGATAAGCTGCGTATTTTACGGGAATATATCATAGCTGAAAAGGAATTAGAAGATCAAATAGGATCTATTAAGGATAATATCGAAGGATTATTTATTAGATATTTACAACCGCAACCGTACACAACAGCAATCAACGATATAGGCACACTGCAACGATCGCAGAATCAGATCATGGATTTATTGCACAGAACGATGGATAAGGAACAGATCGTACTACAAAACTTACCTAGCTATCATTTAGCAGTCAATACAATGATGCAAAAAATTGAAAAAACTGCTGAAGATATTAAGGTATTAGTTTTGTTTAATTATATATATATATATTTTTTCCTCACTCCGGAATATATAGTTTATTTTAATATTACGTTTAACACAGTTAGAATTAATTAATTCTCCATAAATTTTTTAATTAGAGGAACATTTCAGAAATTGTTGTCAACACTTACCGAAGATGTCTCAATACAAGAACAACTTGTTGAAATGCAAAATGATTTGATTAGCCGATTAATTGAATTGAGTAATCGTGTCATAGTGGTTCGCAGTGCACCGTATGATGAAACACAACCTCTACGATTAGAAGAATTGAAAAATGAACTTGGAGAAGTAAGCAATATATTGGAAGAATTGAAGGAAAAGGAAAGCAAACCAACAAAACTGGTGCTACATTCGGACGATTTAAAAATGCTATCCGTAGTTGATCAGTATGAAAACCTTAATCGGTGTTTGAATGAAACCGAAAAGGAATTGGTGAATAAAGTTGCTTATATAGCACTGCAGTCGACAATTACCAAGGAAACTGAAGAGCTACAGCATATGGTGGTTGAAGCGTTTAAATTTGAAAGTGATGTCAGCGCGACAACAAGCAATTTACAGAAGGCAGTTGATGATCTTAAAAATGGTCGATCACATTTAATAGCATTACAAAATGCATATGATGAATTAGAAGGAATACCGGATACGGATTCGTTACGTCAAAAGATAATTGATGAAATTTCGACACTAAGTGAACAATACGATGATGTTGAAAGAAAGTTGGAAGATCGACTTGATATGCTGAATAAATTTGATGAAATAGCGGATAATGTAAACAAAAAGTTGATGGATCTCGAAAATAATGTACATCAACTAGAAGTTCCAAGTGCCAGCTGCGAATTATCTGTTGCCGATAAAGGATTCAATGATGTTAATAAATTACGAGAATCATTGGAAAAATTGTCTGAATTGAAGGAACAATTAACACCATTATTGAAGCCTGCTTTTGCAGTTGAAGATTTCGATAATCGTTTATCAAATGTGAACAAAATTTTTCAACAATGGCAAAATGAGATTGTGCATAAGAAGCAAGAACTGGAGGCTGAAAATAATCTGTCAAGTTTGATCAATGATTTTGAGCGAACTCTTATTAATGCCGAAAATGATTTTGAAAAGCTTGAAGGAAGAATGAATGCATTGAAGAATTTCAGAGATATGATTTTGCCAATGGTAATTGAAAAATCTGATCGTGTAAGAGATCTAATACTGCCAGTAAGAACTGAAAATATTCAACAGCTTTATCATGATGTTGATATACTAACAGTTCGATTTAATAATTTATCAACACGTGTGAATGATAAATTGAATCACGCAAAGGAACAGGAGAATCTACTTGATAATATTCAACGAGAGCTTGATAATATAGAACAAAAAGCTAATGATTTTCTCAATAAATATATCACTTCACAAGATTTATCAATTGCCATAGAAGATTTCGATCAGTTACATTCTCTTCTGGATCAAATTCCGACATCAGCAATGGAAAATATCACTGAATGTGAACTAAGAGAGAATTTATTGAAGAAAGCAGATACTATAAAGAACCAAATCAAAAATTTGCTCGTTCCACTCGAAAAAGATATAAGGAATGAGCAAGAATTGATGCACGATCTGCATGAAATATTATGTACACTAACCTCAATTGGTGATGATGTTATTGCAGTTGATCCCATTACTGAACCATCACAACAATTGGAGAGTATTGGTCAATTAACCGAAAATTTACGAAAGCTCAAGGGGAAAGTTGAAAAAGTGGAAGGAAAGTTGCAAAGTTCGGAAGGTATGGTAAAGCGTGCATTAGTAACTGATGATCTATATGGTCGTATTGTACAATTACAAAATGCACTTGATGATAAGAAAAGGAAGTTAACAGATCGTGCCAAATTATATGCTATAACTCCAGAGATAAGTTTAATCAATGAAAGTGTACAAAATTATGTCAATGAAATGGAGCAAATACCGTTACAAACAGTTGAGGAGCAAAATGCTGCGTTAAGTGAGCTCGAGGGAAAGAAACATCAACTTGAAAATCTATTGGAAAATATTCCATTAGATGATGAAGGTAATGAGTTACGAGAGAAGGGTAGTAGACTACTGGGACAACTCAATGATATTCTAAAACGGTTAGCTGGTGCAGTTGGGGAGAAGCTTGCAGCATTAGCTGCATTCAATGCAATCAAAGACGAAATTGAAACACAACTGTCATCATTGCAAGCTATACCGATGTTGATTTCTGATGAAATTACTATATCTGAACTTGATAATCGACTACATAATATAAATGTAAAGTTTTTTTTTCCTTTCTTCTATTTGCTTTCAAATATTTTCTTTCCTTTTTCGTAATCGTTCCTTTGTTATTTGAAATATGAAATGAAATCAATATCGTTCATTTACAATTCATGATTATTTTTTGTTTAGGATAAATTTGGTAGTTTGGAAAGACTTAAAAATAAGATAAATGATGCTGATGAAAGAAATCTTGATATGGAAAAAATTACTGAAAAACAGAACATTCTTCATACAATCGAAGAAGCTTTGGATCGTCTCAAGGTGAAAATTGAATGAATAATAATATCTATGTTGGAGTGAACAAAATTAATGAAATTGGTTCATTTCTCATTTCATTCATTACATTTATTCGGTTGCAGGATGATCGACAAATAATAGAGAAGCGAGTCAATGATATGCATGCTGCAGAAAAAAATGCATGAAGATGGGAATCATTTGTATGACGAATTGAACGCATTGATTAAGGAAGGTCAAGAAGTGTTAAATG